TGGGGAATTCTGGGAGTTGAAGTCCACCCGTCTTAAAGTTGCCAGGGTTGAGGAACCCTGCTCTAGATCGATTACTTCCCACTATCTGATGCCTTACTTGAGTTTTGAACTCTCAGAATTCCCATCTGATGGCATGCTGGCCGGGAACTTTGGAAGTTGTAGTTTAAGCACCGTTGGAATCTGCTCAGGTGTAAGCGGCGCTTAGCGTAGGAGAAAAGCACCGCACGGGAGAGCGATTCGGCTCGGAATTTCCCGAGTTCACCACTGCTACCAAAGATATCGCGATACTCTGACAGTTCTCGCGATATGGGAGCTGTGACGTTGCTGAAGGCGTACGTGGTTTTGACTGAGAGGGGATAATTTGCAAGAAGTTGGCGCGCGCGTTGGTTTCTGCACTTTTCCCGCCCACGTCGTGTCTGCCGAGTGTGGCGGAGGTCATTTTTTCTCGGTCAGCAGAAGTTTCCAGGGAAACGACCCTCCTCGCAGTACCCGGTGGAATGAGCGAGGTAAGCAACATAAATAAGGGGTGGCTTCTTGAAGGGATGTCGGATGTCCTGTTTCCTGATGCTTCCGTTCTCTGCAGTGGGCGTTCGGGCTCAGCTAGGTTTTGATCTGGGTAGAAAGCAGGGCTGGGTATGCCCATGTCAGTGGCTTGCAACCATTGTGGTACCTGTGTGTTTAAGCATGCCAACCACATGATAAGCCATACCCTACTGTAGACAGACCCTAATGTATTGTCACTATATCAGATCGCTAGTGTTAAGAAAATTTGAAGCAATCATTTGTGTGTGTGTGCATGGACTCACGTCTCTAATAAAGCTTGGTGTTTGGTGCCATTTTTCTTGGCAACAATATGGAAGTAGTGTGCCACTGCCTCTTGCCATAACGTTTTCTTGATTCCCCAGCCTATTATACAGCATGGGATTTCCCATGGTCTCCTGTCCAAGTACCCTCTGGATCCAATTCTGCCTACTTTGTTGTTGTTGTTGTTTTAAGTTCATCCGAGCTTAGCTAGGTACTGCAACCAAGCAATTTCTTTCTATGGCTGGGTTGCAGAAGCAAAGCCAAAATAGGATTTGCTTGCTTGTGGCCTAGGATATAATGAGACTGTTGTCACTGTGGTTTATGTTTATTGTGTTTTGTAAATCAAGCCTACTGTAGTTTATTTTGCAAACTATGGTTAACAAACATGGCTGAACTTGTATGAACGCAGCCTTTTTTAAATGAGAATCCAATTGGTATATCTCAGAGTGCTAATAAAAAAATTAAAGCACATACTTCAAAAACATGTTTGGTTTGGGCTTAGGAAGTTGCATGATCTCGGCCTTTGTGGTTGTGTTTACTGTGGTTTAGGTTTAGCATGCTGTATGAACCTAGTTCATTACGGTTTATCTAAACTGTAGTCAAGCAAATTATAGCTTGGAGAATAGTTTAGTAATGCATAGTTTAGCATGCAATTTCTGGCAGCTCAAAAGCTGCCCTACAGGGCTGAGATACTTTTGGGAAGGGTTGAGAATTTAAAATGTGAAATTTATACGTTTTGTCTTTTAACATCTCTGCCCCCAGTTTGAAGTTTATTGAAATAAACAGTCATAAACCCAACACACAGAAGTTAAAAATGTATTAATCAGACTCCAATAAAAGCTCATTCATGCCTCCAGTAGATAACTTGGGGAAGCAATCAGGTTCAAAAATGTCTAATTATCATAGGGATGGTACAAAATTTGGCTACCATTCTAAAGACTTCCTGATCCTGGCCATCCAATAGGCAGCATACAATTATATCAGAGCAATCTGAACAGTTTGTAATTAGAGGGCAGGTTAACTGTGTCCTCCAAAAGTAGTAGATAGGACATTTCAGAAGCACTTGTGCTACTCTCTCCATTTCAAAGTCTGAGCAAATATACAGATGCTCTTGGTCAGGAATACCATTGTATCTACTCAACAGTATCATTGAAGAGACAGCTGCCAGTGTGAAAGGCATCCTGTGAGAGGGGACTAATAAATGATATAGATAATGGGGAATTGTAAAAGGAGAGAGTGTGAGCTCATTGTAGCAAAGATGAGAAGTGTTCGTTCTGTTTCTTTGTAAATCAAGATTTAAAATTCTCTGCTTGAGCTCTCTCCAGACTTCATCCATGCCTAGTATGGATACCAACTGGAGGTTGAGGCCACAATGATCCAGATCATCCATTATTTGTTTCTTCTAAGAAGATTGTTATCAGTCTGTCATAACTATCTGGGCTAGAGATTCACCTCCCCAAGTTTGTTTCAGCCAATACTTCAATCAGCAGAGTTGTAGTTGAGCCTTGAGGAGAAGGGTTAAACTTTTTGACCTCACTTAATCTGGAGTGGCTGTAGAAGCCACAAAAGAAATGCTGGAAGGCTGACTCTTGGCTGAGTATGATGTGAGAACGCTGCCAGAGCTTCCATAAACACTTTAAAAACAGAGGTTTTCTAATTAATTGGGGAACACTGGAACATGGAGTTGAAGTGGTAGGGTGGATGTCATTGGGGTTAAATTACACTAACTTGTTTGCTAATCACAGCAGACATTAACCATAGCAGACATTAACGACCAAATGAGTAATAGAAATTTTTCTCATTTCTAAATTATAGTATTTCATGCAACTTTAGAGTTCCAGTGTTTGTCTATGTTCTGCAGCTAAATTTTTTTAAAAAATGTCAGTTCTATCCTCTAGTGGTGTTCAACACAAACAACAGAGTTATTTGAGACACTTGCTTATATAAAGAAAATAAAAAATATTGAACTACATGTTCCAACATATTCGGCCATGTTATTATGCCATTTTCGATTATCTCTTGGTGTTTCAATACTGGATTATTTCATGCTATGATTGTCTGCATTACATAGGAAACCAAATCTGGCACTATGATTTAGCAATAGGAGATACAACAAGTTGTAGTCAGATATAATCTAATTAACCTCCATTTTGGTTGTTATTGCAGTCATTTTTATTGTGGCTGGCCAGTCAACTCTATTTTTTTAAAAATGGTATGGTGCCACCAGAGTTGGAGTGAGGGAAAGCTTAGGCCCCCTTTCACATTTAAGACTGATAGAAATGGAACAGCAGCAGTAAAGTAAGCTATATTTGCAGCTGCTTCAACTTCCCATCTCTTATCTGGAAGTCAGAGGAAAATAAATATGGATTGACTCTCCCTATCCACTCACCTAGCTCAAATGTAATGCTGGATTGTGGCATGTAGAGTAAGCCTCTGAGCAATCATGATTTCAAATTATGGTTAAAATATGCCTCCTTAATGATTGTTTAACTTAGACATATTATTACAGATGGTCCTCACTTAACTACCACTCCTTCAGTGAACATCCGAACTTATGAAGTCTTTGAAGTTCTGGCTGTCGCAGCGTCCCCATGGTGCATGATCACCACTTGCAATCTTCATTGCCGGCTTCCAACAAGCAATGTCTATGGGGAAGCTGTCAGGAAGTCACAAATGGTAACCATGTGACGTCACTCTTAATGACAGTGCAGGATTCACTTAATGATGGCAACTTGAAGTGCGAGAATTGCTGGAACTGCCGTTGCTAAGCAATGCAGTCATGTGATATCATGCTTTATGATTCTGTCGCTTAGTGACAGAAATTCTGGTCCCAGTTGCCATCGTTAAGTGAGGACTACCTGTATTTAGCAAGATCAGAGATTCTTGAAATTTAGGGAGCTGTAAAAGTTGAGTAGGCAGGAAGCACACTACGCTATCCACCCATCTTTCAGTCCTCTTAGATAGGGCTAAAGTGCTGGTTTTGTATCTTGGTTCCATTCACACAAAACATCAAACCCTCCTGGAGATGGTTGCTTTGTGCTTCATGTGTCAGTTGATCCCCATATCTGTTTCCCACCATGAAAAAAATCTGTAGGACAAATGGCAACCAGGCTGCACCTCTGTTCCCTATCAGCCATATGCACTGATTCTGAGAGCGGGATGCAATCTCTCATGGGGTCACGACCCATAGTTTGAGAACTAGGTAATTCTGTGCCTGTCATTACCTATTGGCCATTGTCTGTTCAGTCATTAAACACACTTTCAAGCTATACTTCTAAAACATGCTTTCTTTTTTTAAAATAATATTTTATTAAAGTTTTACATAGATCAAAGCTAATACAGAACTAAAAAAGATTTACAAACAAAAAAGAAAAAGAGAAATAAAGAGAGAAAAGAAAAGACATATAAAAAGTGATTCCCCCCTCTCTCCAAACAAGTATAAACATTTGCAGTAACTTAACACCTTCTCTAGTATTACAGGAAAAAAACCCTCTTCTTCCTATTTCTCATCCCTTAACAATAGCCAAATTATAAAAAATTCATCAATTAATCTCACTATGATGGAATGTATCTACGAAGAGGAGGGTGATGTGAGAGATCATGGCTATCAGGAAGGGGGGGTGCGTACCAGGAGGGGAAACGAGTCAAAAGACAATACAGTCCTTAGCAGGAGCGTGGGAAACGAAAGAGATTCAGGATAGCCACTCCCTAGAATCTCCCAGGGTAGATCCACTTGTTGCAGTAGTATAGATTTAGTCTGGCAAGATTCTGTCTATAAGGTGTAAGCAAATAAAGGAACTTTACTTGACTGTTTCACCGTTGTTCTTGGGCTGGGCCTCACACTCACTCAGCAAAAGCATTAAGCATACCAGTAATAATAACCTATATAACCTTAGAAAAATAAATCCATTATGCATTTTGACTTACAACTTTCTCTTATAAGTAAAACATAAAATATTTATCCCCATAGACATAAAAATACCAATAATAATAACAACATATATATCAAATTAAATCAAGTAGGTCCCTTTTAGATTCTAACTTATAACTTTCTCTAACAAATAGGACATAGAAAGTTTATCCCCATATGAAAAAAATATTTAAATTCTCATCTTACAGTCCTGATAAAAAGATTCCAATAATAACAGCCCAAAATCACAACTTATACAATTTAACCCTGATCAAATAAGTCCACTTTGAATTCCTTTTTCTTCTTTTTAAGAGGCTTGATCTTCAGTTGTTTCTTCAAATAAAGTCCCACATGATGATCTCTTATCATTTTCTCCCTGTTTTCAGGAACAACTTCAGAAATTTAATACTTCTCTTCTGTGAATCCAAAATAAGATAACTCTCAGAGTCACTCTTCTGATTTATAATCTGGATGGCTCCTTTAATTATTAAAACATCAACCAGCATAATTTGTAGGTCCAGTGCAGCTTCTTTCTCCATGTCACTCTTATAGTCAATTATTTATAAGTCCCTTTTCAAATCCACAACATCTTTTTCCATGTCTTCCATATCTTTTTTATAGTCTGGCACTTTTTTAAAGTCCATTTTAAGATCCTTATTCAAATCATCCTCAGCCTCTGTTTTACCCAATAGAATCTTTTCTTCTTCTATAACCTCTGTTAGCTCCACTTTGAAAGTGTCAAAAATTTTGGAAAATAAATCCTGAACACATTGTTTCCAAGCTGACTTAAAT